GCTCCTTACCACCATTTCCTTCAGCTACTTCCTTTTGTCCAGTTGTGCGATAAAGAAAGCTCCTAATTTTCTTAAAAAAAAAAAAAAGGCATCCCAAAAGATAGCACCAGTGCCCTGGACAAACAACGAGGTGTAGTTATTGCTGAGCTGAGATTCATGCGATTTTGCCAACGATCCTTCCCACATCAAGGCAGTACTTTGCTGAAAGCAAACAACCAGAGCCAGGGAAGACCGGGGCTGGGCCAACTGTGGCCGGTCCAGGCAGGACTGGGCTTTACAACTCATAAGAGACATTACTCAATTTGCATTTTACCCAGTAGAGCAAAGCAGGAGGCCTATGAAAATAAAAACTGAAGACAGACGAATAAAAGGCACAAAGGAGGGAATCCAGTTTTTGGTTATCATCCCAAAGTCAGCCAACAAAGTATTACAAATAAACTTTTATCCCTGCAGTAATCTTACTGTTCCCAGTACATAAGAATCTCTTAAAAATAAAGGTTCAACTCGTACAATTTTTAAACTTAACGACGTAAACGTTCACGTTGCAGTAAATTTAAAAAAATGTGCCAGTATCCGAACATCTTCTGGTTTAGCTATATTTCCTTCATGACTTCACAACTCGTTATAAATATTACTCGGTTTGACAGAGTCAGTGAGCTCTGAAAGCAGCAAAATCATGACAGCTCCTTCCGTCCCGTTTCCAGCCCTCTCTTTTAAGATTAACAACCGAGGTGACATCATTCATAAACACACTCACATATGGCCTTTGGGAGCTAATTTCACAGTGTTTGTTTCAACAGAAAAGAAACTCACACTCTGAGGTTGGAGGAAACCAAAAGCGGGAATGGGCTGGCAGTGAAGATGCCCCATGTGCATGTCCATCCAGTAGCACTTGATATAAAACACAGTAAATCTCTTGGCTCTGAAACAAAGAGCCTTCCAGATAAGATCACTCTGTGAGCATCCTCTTCGAGCAGCACTTTCCAAACTCTTCAGATAAACTGGCAAGCAAGGTCAAATGAAGAGCGAACAGAGTGGGGAACAGTAAATTGCAAACGAATACATCTTCTGAACAAAAAGATCTGTTAAATGACATAATTCAAAAAGCCACAGGGCGGGGAGACAATATTTCTTATTCACTGCACGCTCAGGCAAAACATTTCACTGAGATGCACAAATGAATTTGAAACAAACAAAAAGAACAAATTGACAAAAAGATTCTGGTCCAAACCTGGCCAAGACCAAGAACAAAGCCCCTACCACCATCCTGGGTCTTCTAGACGACATAAAACATCAGACTGAAGCTGTTCCCAAAGGAAGTGCTCTGGCTCGTAAACAGCATGGGACTGCTGCTAGTTCTCATTTACACAACGGTAAGAGTCCAGTTCAGTCTCGTAGGTACCATTAATGAGTCAGCCGAGAAATATGCGCCATGTGAACTGATATAACAATCTACTGGTGCAAACGTGCTCACCGAAACAAACCCAAGCGTTGCCGAAAGCATCCAGCCCGAAAGACATAAAAAGAAACTGATAGCTAAGTAGTCACTCTTCTGTTCTTAGAAAGGTCAGGGAAAGTAATTACTGTTGGGTAATGATAGCTAAACTGGTATGTGAGGTTGTTCTGAGTAAAATGCTGTGATGGACAATAAAATTAGGCAAGTTAGGAGATTAATAGTGCTGCAGAGAATACCAAAAAATATACACGGTTCCTTTAAAAGCAAGTTTTATAGTATTTTTTACTTTAAATTTAAAAAGCGCAGTAAGGTTTGAAGTGATCTGTCAAAAAGTATTTATGATTAATACTTTATCAACCAAGTTAATATTAAAGTGGATTTCTTTCACACCATTATGCCACTTTTTAGAAGATTTTTTAAGTCTGAAAACTCATAAAACGGGCTCGTTTGGCTAGTCATTAGCCTAGCCTTAGTGCCATTTTCTCCATACTTATAACTGCTGTCATGGCTGATAAAGTACATTTTCTTGATAACTAGAAACTCATAATAAACCTCGACTAGTCTCCAAACAATTAGGGGTGTCGAACTCAGTTACCAAAAGGAGCCAAAATTTAAAAACTTTGTCTGAGCCACGGGTCACTTTCAGCTGATACATCTACTCGAGTCAGATATCTGATGTTTTCTTGGTTGGAGGTTCATAAACAAGAGTTTGATTAATGACAGAATGATCCAGCCGTCTTACTTGCTTGAAAGTTAGCCAGCTGCCAAAAGAAGTCTACACTAAATTACTGTATGTACAAACAGGATTCCAAAAAAGTTGGGACACTAAACAAATTGTGAATAAAAACTGAATGCAATGATGTGGAGATGGCAAATGTCAATATTTTATTTGTAATATAACATAGATGACAGATCAAAAGTTTAATCTGAATAAATGTAACATTTTAAAGGAAAAATATGTTGATTCAAAATGTCACGGTGTCAACAAATCCCCAAAAAGTTGGGACAAGTAGCAATAAGTGGCTGGAAAAAGGATATTGAGCATATAACGAACAGCTGGAAGACCAATTAACACTAATTAAGTCAATTGACAACATGACTGGGTATAAAAAGAGCTTCTCAGAGTGTCAGTGTCTCTCAGAAGCCAAGATGGTAAGAGGATCACCAATTCCACCATTGTTGCACAGAAAGATAGTGCAGCAATACCAGAATGGTGTTACCCAGCGTAAAATAGCAAATATTTTTAAGTTATCATCATCAACCGTGCATAACATCATCAAAAGATTCAGAGAATCGGGAACAATCGCTCTGCGTAAGGGTCAAGGCTGTAAAACTTTACTGGGTGCTCGTGACCTCCGGGCCCTTAAACGTCATTGCACCTCAAACAGGAATGCCACTGTCAAGGAAATGACAGAATGGGCTCAGGAATACTTCCAGAAAGCATTGTCAGTGAACACAATCCACCGTGCCATCCGCCGTTGCCAGCTGAAACTCTACAGTGCAAAGAGGAAGCCATTTCTAAGCAAGCTCAGACATTTGCACTGGGCCAGGGGTCATTTAAAATGGAGTGTGGCAAAATGGAAGACTGTTCTGTGGTCAGATGAGTCACGATTTGAAGTTCTTTATGGAACACTGGGACGCCATGTCATCCGGACCAGAGAGGACAAGGATAGCCCAAGTTGTTATCAACGCTCCGTTCAGAAGCCTGCATCACTGATGGTATGGGGTTGCATGAGCGCTTGTGGCATGGGCAGCTTGCATGTCTGGAAAGGCACCATTAAGGCAGAGAACTATGTTCAGGTTCTAGAACAACATATGCTCCCATCTAGACGTCATCTCTTTCAAGGAAGACCCTGCATTTTTCAACACGATAATGCCAGACCACATTCTGCAGCAATCACAACATCATGGCTACGTAGGAGAAGGATCCGGGTACTGAAATGACCAGCCTGCAGTCCAGATCTTTCACCTATAGAGAACATTTGGCGCATCATAAAGAGGAAGGTGCAACAAAGAAGGCCCAAGACGATTGAACAGTTAGAGGTCTGTATTAGACATGAATGGGAGAGCATTCCTATTTCTAAACTTGAGAAACTGGTCTCCTCTGTCCCCAGACGTCTGTTGGGTGTTGTAAGAAGAAGGGGGGATGTTTTCAGTTTTCAGCATTCAGTTTTTATTCACAATCTGTTTAGTGTCCCAACTTTTTTGGAATCTGGTTTGCATTTATCAGTTTTTTTTTTTTAAGAAAAAATTAGATGAGATATAATATTTTACATTTAAATGATCATCTTGGGGGACCAGATTTGGCCCGCGACTCTTCTAGACAAACCCTAGTCATGATTTAATATACATTTTCTTCAACAGTGGCTTTCTCTTTGCCACTCTCCCATAAAGCTCAGGCTGGTGAAAAACCCTGGCAACAGTTACTGTATGCACAGTCTCATCTAGTGAAGCTTGTAACGCCTTCAGGGTAGTCTAGGTGGTCTCTCTCACTATTCTCCTTCTTGCACAGTCACTCAGTTTGCGAGGACGGACAGCTTACACGTCCCACATTTCTCCCATTTTATAATAATAGATTTACCAAATTCACTTTTATTTAGTTACTTTTTCCATAAATAATGCCAACTTATATTGACCATGATTGATTTCTGTTAGTGATAAAAGCATAAACAATGAATACTTTGTATAGGCAATGTATATTTTCACAATTGCTTATATGAATGACATTTTGCAGTACGTTGGCAGTTATGTGGGTCTAAATAGTGCAAACAGCACATTTAATGACCAATCAGCATTCTGCAAAACCAGGAAACACACAATTAACTAACATATCATTACAAGAAGCATCAACATATGTTGAATTTAAATTTATACATGCTTTTATACCCTCAAAACATAATAAATTACAAATAGCGTCTTCGTAAATATCTCTAGTGGTAGATTCTCTGTTTAACTTTCGGACCACAAATGTAAAGTTTTATGAACAAACGCACACACAAATGTTCACATGCATCCACAAATAAGTCTGCTGAGCAATATTTTTATGCCAAGGCATTGCTCAACACAAGTGGGGTCTGTTAAACCAAACATGTGTCTTCAATAACGTCTACTTGCTCTAAATGAGAACATGGTTAAAATATCCAACTTCCCTTCGCTCACACTTTGAAACGCGTCCAACATTTGAGCCTCTTCAACAGTACGGCCAGCTCCTGATACAGGAATGGGCACCAGCTCAGGCTCAAACAATCACTGCTTCAATGTCCATAGATGAAAAAAACTAAACAAATAAAGTTGTAAAAACCTGGGAGGTTTTAGTGGAAATCAAATTATTTTACTATGAATAGAGATGTTTGTTTGCAGGATAAAGACAATGTTACATTCCTACACATAGAAAGCAGTAACTCGAAACTGGGGCTTTTATTGCAGCAAAGTTTTACATATATATACATATTTCTTCTCTTCATCATGGAAGTATTGTAAATATTCCCTCTTCAAAGCAACAAATGTGTAACTTGATGTCTGATTTAGAGTGAGGACAGCTTACCTTCCTTCCCAGGAGAGCTGGTCATTAAGACCTGAAGGTCTCTGTCCACGTTTACGATATGGTTCTGGATGGTCTGACATGTTCCCTTCAGTCCTCCAATATCTTGAGCGTGAGCCCCAACTGTGCTGTTCACCTGGTTTACGCAGGTCCACAGCTCGGTGACGTGCTTGTTCAGTCCCTCTTTGATCCTCAGGAGGCTGTTGGAGATGGGCTCCAGCTTGTTGCACAACGTCTCAATATTTACAATTCGGCTGTCCATCTTGGCGATCTTGTCCCCCACATCCTGCGTTGTTTCTTCGCAGCGGTTGACTTCAGCTTTCACCTCCCTTCCCAGCTCGTCCAGCTGTTGTCCCAGCTCCTTTTGCTGTGCTCTGTAGAGATCCAAAAGCTCCTTGGCCTCCCGCTCCTCTCCTGCTTTAACGTGACCCCCAGAGGGGTAAAGGTTCCTCAGTGGCTGCTGGAGCATGACATCCAATATGGACTCTTCCATGCTTTCTAGACGGTTCTTGAGGTCACCAACCTTCTCGTTTATACTCTCAATGCTGCTGCTATGGTTGAGGAGTTGCCCCTTCATGGATTCAACATCATTTATCTGGACATTTAGATTGGTCTTATGGTTGTCAAAGTCTTGCTGAAGGTTTTCTAGAGCAGTCAAATTAGATCTGCACTCTTGTGAGCATAAATGGTCCATGCCATTGGCTCGTTGCTTCAGAATGTCAACAGAATCCTTTAGAGTTTTAACATCTTCCTGCAGAAGCCCAACACTCTTGTTTTGACCGTCAGAATGGAAGGTGCTGCTATCTGCCAGTTTGTCTTCCATGGAGGCCAGCTTGTCCTCCAGAGTCTTCTTCAGGTGTTTGATAGCTTCATCCTGCTCGTTCCGAAGGCTCTTCTCTACAGAGAGGCACTGAGCCTTTAGAGTCTTATCCGACGAGTTCAAATGGGTTTCAAGGCTGTCCAGACGAGCCAGAACAGAGTCAGATCCTCCAGAGTCTGCCCGCCCCAGATCAGCCACTTTAGCTCTAAGTTCTTGGATCTCATTGCGGAGGTCACCTTCCTTTGAGTCCATGAGCTCGGCCAGGCTGAAGTAATTCGTCTCCTGTCCTTCACATTGTTCCTGCACTGAGAGGATTTTATAATCACAAGAGCTCTTCAAGTCTGCCATCTTGATTTCCATGCCTTCCATCAGCTCTTCTCTCAGAGCGCTGATCTTACTGTCCAAGTAGGCCTGCAGGTCACTGGTTGGAGATGCAGGAGGGGGTGTGTGCGGAGGGGTCTGGTCACCTTCCATTAACAGACGAATTTGTCCATCGTGGTAGTTGACTCGACCCTGCAGGTCATCCAAGGTGTTGCTCTTGGACTCCAGTTCATCCATAACTTGGTTCATCTTGTTCATTACATCATCCATTTGTGTGGTCTCATGGTTCAAAGTGAAGTCCTGCACCTGAATGGTTTGGGTCTCAGCACCACGTGCGCTGGCAGGCTGTTTGAAATCATCCAGCAGGGAAACCAGCATTTTACTGGCGTCCTCTTGGAAATCCAGCCTCAGATTAGACGCCATGTCTGTCATTCTTGCCTGCACGTCGAGGACCATCTGGGACAGCCGCTGCACCTCCTGCTCCAGGTGTTGATCACTTTCAGGTCCTTTTTGACCCACTTGGGCCCTGTTGCCTGTATGACCTCTAACCTGCCACTCCCCTCCAAATGGATAGTTTCTTTCGCTCTCTGTCCTATGATTAGAAGCTAGAAAAAAAAACACCAAAGTGATAGATTTAAAAGTTTTAAGACAAAAAAGAAAGTTTTTAAACATTACCTTATTTGATTTATTATTCCATATGGTTCAAATAATCTCGCTGACCTTGTAGATTTGGTAAATACCCAGAGGCAGAGGGCGCATGGTGTAAACGCTCGACTCGGGTTTGCCTTATGTCTTTCACCTCCATGCAGTCTTGGCCCTGGTAGCCCGGGCAGCACCTCCACTCCAGTTCCGTTACAGTCTTGTACCCGATTTTGTACGTGGGTCTGAAATGTGTTCGATATCTAAAATAAATGACATCAAAGTGTTAATATACGCAGTATTTTCTCTAAATGCAGGTTCGATTTACGACAACCATAACGGTTTGAGTACTATACAAAAAGTTGTTCTCATCTAAGGAACTTCCTGTTTTTGAACGGAAGTGTGGCTCTGCCAAGCTTTTCAACTGCAGTGAGTCACGTGTGACCAACACATCTCTCATATGGACCAGGATAACAAAGATCCCAACAACCCTCAAAGGGGATGAGAGGGAGAGTGATTTGCAGCAGAGGTCAGCTTGCAAAAATGAAGCACCTCACTGCAATTTAAAAAGCTTGGAACGAAGCACTTTCCTGTTGGAAGTGAAAAAGCTCCATGGGTGAACAGTGAAACGTCTTCTAGGAACAAGAAGATGAGCCGTCTTTAAAAAAAAACCCTATTAACATTGTCATGTTCAGGTTGACTGAGTTAAGGGGTTTGCATAGTGCAGAAAAGAAAATTCTGCATATTACCGTATTTTTCGGACTACAAGGCGCACTTAAAATCCTTTAATTTTATCAAAAATTAACAGTGAGCCTTATAATCCGGTGCACCTTATGTATTAATTCTGGTTGTGCTTACTGACCTAGAACTGATTTTATGTGGTACACAAAAATCTGTCAAAATGTTTTAGTTTTGCTTAATGCGCCTTAAAATCCGAAAAAATACGGTAAATAAAAAATAAGATTTAAATCGTTTCTCTCCTGCAGTCAGTCAACCTGGACACTTTAACAGTTCGAGTAGCTTGGTCTTGTCATGGATCCTAAACTTTCATTTAAGGCTCAGATGAAAAAAGGTCCGGGGTCAAATTTTATCTTTTTGTAAGTTTATGGGAAACTATAGAGAAATTGCCGTTCCTGTGAAAATGCAGTGAAACAAGGATTTCATCACTAAACGGTTAGTGCGAGTTTAATTTGACCAGCTTTGCTGAAATAAAATAAGTAAAATAAAACAACAAACAAAAAGACAGAAATGTGTAGAAAAAGCTGAAATAGGCAGAGAGAGGCGGAGGTTACAAAAACTATGAAATTAGTATAAAAGAAAGAAATAAGCAGAAAAAATACGAAATTAGCACAAAAAAACAGTAGCTGAAACTAATTAAAGTGAAAGGAGCATTAAAAGATGAAATTATTGGAAGCATGAGGGGTCAAAATGAGGGGACAAGGGCAGGAAAAAAGTTAAAATGATCACAAGTGAAGTACCTAAAAAGTGAGGGGAAACTGTTATTTTATTTAAGAAAAGGTCTTTAGATGAGAAGGTTTCTATAAAAGCTGTGCTGAACTGGGACTCTCAGATCTGACAACTTTAGTTTATTGAAATCTCTATTAAAGACGTCTGCGCTGAAGTCACTGTCAGAGTTTGTTCTTTTATTGGACACTTTCTTATTCACTTAAGGTTTGGTGTGACAGTAGCTGCGTCTGATCACCAACACTTATTCTGATGTACAAGAAGGCTTAAAATTTGGATATTAACTGGAGTCAACTCAAAATTTCTCATGAACCAATGAGCACATTTTTTTAGACAAGACTTTATAGCGCCTGGATAAATGTCTGGACGAACTTTGGTGCATTAACTGTCATATTTATTGAGGTACACTGCCCTTGTCAAATTAATTTAATGAGAGTTGACAGAGATCATATCTCTCCAGTTTTAGCTTCTCTCCACTGGCTCCCTGTCAAATTCACAATAGAATTCAAAATCTTACTTCTAACCCACAAAGCTCTCAACAACCTAGCTCCATCCTATATTACAGCTCTTATTGTTCCATATTTTCCTAACAGAGCACTTCACTCTCAGACTGCAGGTTTACTTGTGGTTCCTAGAGTTTCCAAAAGCAGAATGGGAGGAAGATCTTCCCGTTATCAGGCCACCACCTGCTCCGGATTTTATCAGCCATTAAATGGCCGCTATTAGTTGTTATCTCCATATGTAGTGGTCAGACTGCCCCTCCTGTACCTCCTAGTAGGTTTAAAGCTACGTTGTTAGCGATAATAGGCTCCGTTTTTCATAATAACTTCACGTGGTTAGGTTTAGAGTAAAGGGTCTGGCGGTTAGGTTTACGGTCTTAGTTAGGTTTAGGCACAAGGGTAAGGGGGTTAAGTTTAGGGTTGGTCCTCAGGGTCACGTGTAAGCTTACATTTAGGAAAAGGGTTACATAAGCTGGGAAAAAAAAAAAAAAAAAGACAATTCCTGGTTTACCCCCGTGCGACGCTGCCCATTATCAGCAATAATGATAATAACGTACCTTTAAACCTACTAGAAGGTAGGTGGGACAGTTTGACCGCTACATATGGGGGATAACAACTAATAACGGCCATTTAATGGACTGATAACATCCGAAACCGCTCTCAGGCTCCTCTCTTGTGGAACCAACTTCCAGTGTGAGGCTGACACATTTTAAGATTGGGATTAAGACTTTTCTTTTTGATAAATCCTTAGGGTTGGCTTGGGTTTCCTGAACTATCCTTTAGTTATGATGCTATAGGCTCAAATTGGCCACATGTTCTCACTCTGCTGCTGTCTTTACTTGCTCTACCCGTTTGTATTTACAATGATTTCTAACCTCAACATGTCTTTTTTTTTGTCTCTTCCTATAGAAAGTCCACCTGGACCTGCCATTCTGTGTTCGTCTCCCCTTCCTGTTCCTCTCAAACCCAGCAGGTCGAAGCACTTGTCCTGAGCCTGGTTCTGCTGGAGGTTTCTTCCTGTTAAAAGGGAGTTTTTCCTTTCCACTGTTGCCTTTGTGCTCGCTCATGAGACTGAAGAAGACCAAGTGAAGATTTAACACAATCTGCTGGCTTCCTTTGATAAATGACTTTTATTAATGTATCAGTGCACTGCAACAATGGGACGCTATAGAAATAAACTGCATTGAATTGAACTAAATAAAAAAAAAGGCAAACAAGCAACCTTGGATAAAGACATTTATCATTCAATACAGACACAGGGCAGCTTTAAGTCATCAGGACTAGAAGCTTCTAGATGTTTTGTCGCTGTTAACAGAAAAGTCAGTTTTAACATAAACCCGAGCACAGAGAGAATGGATCGGATTACCTCTGAAACAAGCAGCGCACACCGGTGCTGTTTCAGATTATTATTAAACTGAGTGGATGAAGCCTCTCTGCACCGTGGGGGGTGAACATGTGGAGACTTACAGGACTTGTTGCGCGCAGTCGGGCAGCTCGGGCGGACACGGCGCGGACTCCGGCTGCGCAAAGCTCTCCATCCCTCCCACGACGGCGCAGCTCACGTTTTTGTGCACCACGTATGCGCACCAGTTTCTGCGGAACAAAACGAGCCAATAACTCCTGATGGTGAGCCGATTACTTTAAAAACTCTCTAAAGTTAAAAAGGAGCAGCAGGAACTCACTTGTTCCTTTGGCGCGTTTCGGCGGCGGAGTACGCGTTTCCCTGAAACATGTTGTAGTGGAAAGGCGTGCCGCTGATCACTGGGAAACTTATTAAAAAGTGAACAAGTTGCAGTCCTGGATTCATGGCGGACAGCTGCAAGGGAAGAAGCCGGCGGTGCGTTCAGGTTCAGGATGGGTGTGCGGGTTGTTCCGCTTCTGCGGTGCGCAGATCCAAAGCAGCTCCTTTTGGATGTGACGTTTCAGGACCCCCTCCAGTGATGACAGATGCACGCGCCCCCCCCTACCCTCACCTCTTTCCCACAAACCAAACTGTGAATCCAGATGTTTTTCAGTGTATAAATCTGTTTATTGTGCATGAGGTTTGGGTTACGTTGTTCAGAGCCACCAGTAAATAGTTTTATTTACGTCATATAGTTCACAGTATATGAAATTCAGTAGAATCAGCCAGTGGAAAAACAAGAATAATAAAAATAAACATAGAAAACAAAGATTTCAGATACTTTGAAATCTGTCTAACTTCAGTAAGTTTCATTAATTTGGCAGTCAAACATAAAAAAAAAAAAAAACGACCAAAGAAAAAAAAACCATTTACATCGAAATAAAAAAAAATAAAAACTTCTGTTGCTGTATTAAAACTCAGAGGAGTATCCCTGTCTTTGTCTTTTCGTCTTGATGCCCGACGGCTCTCCAGTGTCCTCAGGTCCTCGTTTCCATTGTCTCACTGATGCTGCATGAAAAACACTAAATAATTAGAAACACTACAAACAAAAACAGAAAAGTGTGTGTGTGTGTGGGTGGGGGGGGGGATCATCACCGAGTTGTTCATCAATGTCCGCAAGCTGCTTTTTTATCTCTTCCATTTTTTGTTGCTTTTGGGCCATATCGGGTGATTTCCAGTGTTTGGTCCAGTCCATCTCAGCTGTTTGTCTCTTCATCACAGCTGAGTGGTACTGACAGAGCAGCTCTGTCCAAAACAGAAAACTTCAAGTCCAGTCGGACTGAGCAGGGTGTGAAATAACAACAAAAGAAATAAAACGATTGTAAGAGGTGTCACCTTTTTGTTCCTGAAGTATGGCATAGTGATGGGGAAACGGGGCTCCAAACACTTTTAGTCTGTGAATGGGTGGGGCTCTGTTCTGGGCACCTCCGAATTTACCCTGGGAACTGATCCGGTCTCCCTGTAGGGTCAGTATGGTGGGACAGTGGATTCTGTTCTCCACAACCTGCGAACAACAGCTCATTTAGAGGATAATGAACTCGGGCGGTCTGCTCCGGCACCACTCTGTCAGCGAGGATCACTCACTTTCTTCCTGTAGTTGGTTGCAGACTCCAGGTCTCTCATCAGAATAGTGGTTCCGAGGAGGTTTTTAAAAACTGGGGAGTAAGCACAACCAGGAACCACATCAAGTCATTTAAGAACTTTGAGGCTTTTTAAAATTTTATTTGACACAACGCTTCAGCACACTTTAAACTGGTATCTAGATAAAAGTAACTCAAAAACAAAAAGATAAAAACGTCATTAATTAGATGAAAAAGGCCTCATTTCCACTGCAGTGACAGTCTCAGTGGAGGAATCCCCTCCCCCAATGTGAGTTAGATTCCAGGTGGAAACATTTAACAAAATGCCTTTTGGAGTGGTGGGGGGGAAAGAAGGAAAACACCCCAACAACAGCAAACACAGAGAAGTGGGACACATTTACAAATCTGCAAAAACTTTGGACCCCTACTACAACTCTGACTCATCCAAAACAACCAAATGAACTCAAACAGCTCACCGATTTCACAGCTCTGCTGTTCGTGGGGGAAAGTCAGAAAGTCCTTGGCGTAGACCGGGTTCCCAGGAGGATCGAAAAGTTTGTGGCCATTTCTTATGTGTGGCAGCGGTCTGCAAGCAATTCAAACCTTTATTATTACAACATTTTCTCCGAAATGACATCATGCAGGCTCACTTTTTAAATCGTGTATAAGAAGAAGGGTTTGTTTTTGTTCTAACTTTAGAGTTTTAAACTTGTTTAAGATGTTTAAACTCCAACTCAGAACTATTTTTTTTTTAAATTTGGCCATCTACTGCTGTACAGGAGACAAATGGCACCGGACAGACATTTAAACATGAACTTATTTTAAGGACCCTGAAAGGTGTTGGAGCCAACTTTAGCACTTTGTCTCCCCCCTTCTGGCATTAAGAGCAACTACACGAAGAGGGAAAACCAACAAACAAACAAAAAAAAAACAAACCGACAATAATATTAATTTTAGGTAGACTTAGTCCTAAAATACCTCCCATTACCAGGCTCCAGCTCTAACTGAACAAAACATCTTAATGTAACCAACTGCAAAGTATATTAAAATTATATTAAATACATAAAAAGTATATAAATGAGAATTTAAACAAAATTAGGGTTGCATGATATTATCGGCATGGTATCAGCCAATATTAGCGATAAAGTTAAATATCGGACTCTGGCCATTCCATTTTGCCACATTTCAGGCTTCAATCATAAAGATATAAAATTTTAATTTTTTGTGAAGAATCAACAACAAGTGGGACACAATCGTGAAGTGGAATGAAATTTATTGGATGTGTCAAACTTTTTTAACAAATAAAAAACTGAAAAGTGGGGCGTGCAATATTATTGGGCCCCTTTACTTTCAGTGCAGCAAACTCACTCCAGAAGTTCAGTGAGGATCTATGAATGATCCAATGATGTCCCAAATGACTGATGATGATAAATAGAATCCACCTGTGTGTAATCAAGTCTCTGTATAAATGCACCTGCTCTGTGATAGTCTCAGGGTTCTGTTCAAAGTGCAGAGAGCATCATGAAGACCAAGGAACACACCAGGCAGGTCCAAGATACTGTTGTGGAGAAGTTTAAAGCCGGATTTGGATACAAAAAGATTTCCCAAGCTTTAAACATCCTAAGGAGCACTGTGCAAGCAATCATATTGAAATGGAAGGAGTATCAGACCACTGCAAATCTACCAAGACCCGGCCGTCCCTCTAAACATTCATCTGGAACAAGGAGAAGACTGATCAGAGATGCAGCCAAGAGGCTCATGATCACTCTGGATGAACTGCAGAGATCTACAGCTGAGGTGGGAGAGTCTGTCCATAGGACAACAATCAGTCAGACACTGCACAAATCTGGCCTTTATGGAAGAGTGGCAAGAAGAAAGCCATTTCTCAAAGATATCCATAAAAAGTGTTGTTTAAAGTTTGTCACAAGCACCTGGGAGACACCAAACATGTGGAAGAAGGTGCTCTGGTCACATGAAACCAAAATCGAACTGTTTGGCCACAATGCAAAATTATATGTTTGGTGTAAAAGCAACACAGCTCATCACCCTGAACACACCATCCCCACTGTCAAACATGGTGGTGGCAGCATCATGGTTTGGGCCTGCTTTTCGTCAGCAGGGACAGGGAAGATGGTCAGAATTGATGGGAAGATGGATGGGGCCAAATACAGGACCATTCTGGAAGAAAACCTGTTTGGGTCTGCAAGAGACCCGAGACTGGGACGGAGATTTATCTTCCAACAAGACAATGATCCAAAACATAAAGCCAAATCTACAATGGAATGGTTCACAAATAAACGTATCCAGGTGTTGGAATGGCCAAGTCAAAGTCCAGACCTGAATCCAATCGAGAATCTGTGGAAAGAGCTGAAGACTGCTGTTCACAAACGCTCTCCATCCAACCTCACTGAGCTCGAGCTGTTTTGCAGGAAGAATGGGCAAGAATTTCAGTCTCTCGATGTGCAACACTGATAGAGACAAACCCCAAGAGACTTGCAGCTGGAACTGCAGCAAAAGGCGGCGCTACAAAGTATTAACGCAAGGGGTCGAATAATATTGCACGCCCCACTTTTCAGCTTTTTATTTGTTTAAAAAGTTTGACACAACCAATAAATTTCATTCCACTTCACGATTGTGTCCCACTTGTTGTTGATTCTTCACAAAAAATTAAAATTTTATATCTTTATGTTTGAAGCCTGACATGTGGCAAAAGGTTGAAAAGTTCAAGGGGGCCGAATACTTTCGCAAGGTACTGTATATGTAAGACATTGTTTTTGTATGACTGAGTGTTGTCATTGTGTTAAGAGTAAATGTCAGGAATAAATTTGACATTAAACATAATCCAAGTTGAAGTGTTGCATCATTTTCAGCCCCTTTCTGGCATCTACACTTGGTAGCAGGTCAAATTGAGAAAGACCACGCAGAATAATGTAGTATTTTAATTCAACAGCAGTGAAAGCCATGTAGTCTCTGTAAGTAGGTCTAGGGGAAAAATATCGGTATTGGCATCGGTCATCGTCCTAATAAGTTTTAATATATTGGAATATCGGATAATGGCCAAAAATCCAATATCGTGCCTCCCTAAAAAAACAAATGTATAATATTAAATACACAAGTGTTATATAAATTCTTGTCACCAGTATTCGCACAATAAGCTAAAATAAAAGAATAAAAATGTTTCCATGTATGTACTTGAACGTTTTCACCATTTACTGCTAATAGTTTGGAAGATAATTTCTTTAGCTGTTTTTGTTGCTTTCGAGCTGCAGACAAATCTTCATAATTGTTGTTGTGATACCAGTTAAAAAATAATTACTGGCAACAAAAACAAACAAAAAAACGCCCAATGTAATTTAACCAGCAGGGAGTGCTTGGACTCCAAGGGAAATCTTCGAGGTTATTTACCAAAGGCATAACCTAAGAGTCGTACCTGTCGAACTGTTGCACAAAGATACTGTCGAGGGCCATGACCTGCTGATTGCCACCTGAGTTGTAGTAGATCCTCCGAGCGGCTGCTGTTGTTCTGGTGATCACACAGTCCATGTCACCCCCTAAATGCCAGGAGATGACCCTCGCAGCATCGTCATCCATAATTACGGCCAAATGGCCTACCTGCGTTCATAAAACATGTTTAAGCACACGCCTTTTAAATTCAATAGTAGTTGTATAGCTTATAAACATGCTGTCACCGTTCCAATCACATCCTGGCCGTTGTAGTTGTTAGAGATGTTGCAGACTCTCCTGGGCATGTTCTCAATCATTTCAATTTCAGCCCGCTTCTCTGTCAGTAACTTCACAATATCTTGGATCTACAAAGAATTTGAAAGTCATAAATCCTACATTCAGAAAAACACCACGACTAGAACTGAGGGAAACAGTTAAAAATCTCTCCTGAACTTACAGACACAGAATGAGGAACGTTCACATTTTTCCTGTTCAGCTCGTCTTTGAGGGCCGCCTCCTTCTTAGAGGTGTCCTGGACCTGAGCTACGTGCAGAAACAGGTTTTAAACCGGAGATCACGCAAAGAAATGACCATGATGGTTTCAAAGCCAAGTTTTAATCCAACGTTGCGTAAAACAAGAGCAGTGTTTTCATCGACGAGACAGTAAACGCCACACAAGAAATCTCACCTGCGAGCATTTCCAGGAGTTGGTTGAAGGAACAACACGTTTCTTCGTAGCGAGCGAGAGCGGCACTCAGCTCGTCCTTCTTCCTCGACAGCTCGGACATTTTTCTTTGGTTTTCAACATCTAAAATGAAAAATTAAAAACAGACACATGCGTGGTGTTTTTGTACATACACCAGTTACAGCCCCTCTACTGGAAGCTCTTGCACTGACTGTTTCGTTTCTGGCTCAAAATCGCAGATAAAAATTAATTTTTTTTATTATGGATAAGACAAGAAAATGGAGATGAAGACTGTATGTCCACATTAAGAGGGATTCTTATAATAAGACAGAGGTTATAGCAGCAGAAGAGCCTCGTTCTGTACCATTGTAAAAATGGAAGGGAAGCTCAAAAGAAACCAGGGACGCGGTCGGCACTTGCGCTTTAAAGACGACAACGTATCTGCTGCCATTCTCGCCGGGGCTGTTCTCCATGATCGCCAGTCTCTGAGGACAGAAATTAGCGTTAATATGTAGGGCTGCATAAAAACAAACTTATGAGGACACTACTTACATTAACGTGGGCACTTCCTTCATTTAAGGGAATTTGAACGTTGCTTGTTTTTCCTTCAAACAGAGGGACGCTTCTGCTCTGCTCATCAGCAAGACATCGTATGGAGACAACCACCGTCCCATTCAGATCCTGTCCGGCTGAATTACCAAATTTATCCTGGGGTAAAAAAAAACTCTTTGTCAACAACATTGCACGTTTAAAGCTTTGACAGTGCATTATATTAATGAGAAAGAAGAGAAAAAGTAGAATCTATTTTCCTGTTGGTCTGAAATGCAGCTCACCATTATCTTTAGAGTCATGCTCTCAACCAGGATTCGGCTGGAGATGTCGGTGCTGATGGAAACTACAGGGGTTGGTGGCTGGGAGTCGGGTCCCAGTTTGACAGGCTGATTGGCCACAACAGTTATGCTGATCTAAGAAATGGAAGGAAAAAAAAGCAAGGTTAAGGCATATTGTGCCCTACAACCCTTCAACAATAAAGAAAAAATGTAGCTGCAACCTTTAAATACTACATACATAATAGGGGTGCAGAAAAAAAAAAGTTTTTTCGACGAATCAAGATTCTTAGCCCTGGCGATTCTGAATCGTTTCTAAAGGTCCAAAAATCGATTTTAAAATGCATATAAGTTTTATATTTTTTCCACTCCTACTCCCCGTTCGGCTGCCGTAGAATTGAGCCATGTAGGCCACCGTACAGCAAGCTAGTTAGCCAGCTCCCTTTATCTGAATGGAGCCTGTTAGCATGGAGGAGGGGGACAGCGCGATTCAACCCGCTGCTTCGTCTTTAAAAATCATTTCAGATCCTACAATGTTCCGTGGGAATACAGAGCTTCACAAAAGCACAGTTGTTTACAAGAAGCGTAAAATAAAATTGCGGTACAGTATTTTGGAAATACGACAAAATTCACGGAAGATGAAAGCGAAGCAGCTGACCAGCGAACTCTGCAACAAACTTCCAGGCTTCTCCCAAAGGCTGTGAAGAGTTCCCTCTCCATCTCCTGCTGTATCAAAAAGGATTTACGATCAGACAGCTCAGTGGAAGGTGAGAGGTTCAGGTTTATTTTTAATATGATGGATTCAATGTACGTTATTCCTTCATGTAGATTTTTTTTTTTGCGATAAAGCACCACAACTTCACCATGAAACAACAAATGGGAGAAGCTCTGATGCAGCTGCAGATCAAAGGTTACTGTTTTTTCTCATATTATACTAAAACTTATAGACAAGTTGTACAACAAACTTAACGCAATTTGTCTTTTTAACAGGTTGAAGAGGACAGATGAGACATCACCTGGAGACAGTTCTAAATGATTAGTTTATGGTTTATAAATTATAGTTCAGAAGAGGTTTTTGTGCAGGTTTCCACAGGTTTTGAAATTTTGTTAAAGATTTACTAAATATGAATCAATATGGTTAAGACTGAAGTCTGTATATTTCATATTAGGTTAAGTTTTGAAAATATAACAAATGTTAGAGTAATATGGTTAAAAATAACTGAAGTCTGTATTTTATTTTGAGTTAAAGGTTAATATACTATGGTAGGGTGAAGTCTGTTTACTTTTGTATTTATATATTTTGAATTATTTGTCTGTGATGGACTGGAGACCTGTCCAGGTGCCTCTCACACAGTGATGGCTGGATGTGGGCACCAGTGATACCAGTGACTCGAAAAGAAATAAGTGGATAAAGATGATGGATGGATGAATTATTTGTTCCTAGATATTTTTTTTTTTTGAAAAATTCAGGCAACTAAGCTAACCTAATACTGGTAATTGAAGTTACAGAATTTTATGCACTCCTATATTTTTTCCTATTTTTATTATAAATATAAAATAAATCAAAAATATTTGATACAGTAAAGAACCTAAAATGATTGTTTTAAATAAATGTTCTATTTGTTTACATCGTTGTTTAATCTTTTCAGCTTGTCAGTTCCATACACATTATAACTGAAACAAAATTTATGACCATGTCAATAGAAAAATCGTTTCTGAATCGAAAACCATTTTTAAATCGTATTGTGACAACAAAAATCAGAATCGAATCGGATTGCCAGACACTGAGAGATTCGCACCCCTAATACACAACACCTTATTTTAAAAAAAAAATAAATAAAAAAAAAAAAATCTCAATTTATTTTTACTAAAAGATGTTCTACAGTTGTTATGAGACCCAAGTCTGAGCTTTGGTTTGGCATTTCCACAGACTTTTCCTTCTTTTTGGACCAACTAAAGATGGCTACTATGCAAAAATGGCCATTTAATGATCAGCTAAACAGATATTCAGCTAAAATCTGACGTAGTTTGATAGTAGATAAGAGTCATGCTACATACATATTCGTTCTTTCAGTATTGAATGACATCGTACATAACATTTTTAGGTTTGAACAAAACGGCTAAACCCTCGTTCGCTTCTCATAAGATGATCTTGCATGAAAAATGGTGGGAGATGTGCATTCTTTCAAGGAACGCTAAGCCTTTAACTTCCCATAGTTTCATTCTTTTTTTAACTGTGCTGAGAAGATGTTTTTACAAGGTACTCTTCTTTTATCAGGTTTCCAGGGTTCATAGCTGTGTAGGAGCACTGATATTATGTAGCGCTGGTATCCTGTTCTCCTTGGTCTAAAATGTGTTGATAAGATACGCTTGTTTTTGTTTAGCCTTGATTGTTAGAAAGTGGATGCTGTGATGGCCACTGGAACAGCTGTGTGCAGATGCTCAAAACCTTGAGCAGAGAACAGAAAAGAGGATGGAGGAGAATCCAAAACATATATTATATAATGTGTTGTATTTAAACTTCAGTCCATCTATATTACCCAGGACCTTGACTCAAGGCTTGCTTGCTGATCTGCATTTTGTTGGGTCAGTGAATAAGAGATAAGAACTTTATTGATCCCACAGGAGATTGTTGTAAAACTTTAAATAAACCTTTAAATCACGCATCGGATCCCAGCAACTCTTTGACTCTTCAGTTTATGACTGGTAATGAACATTTGAAGGCTGCTTTTCAGAGAAGCTTCCTAAGAAAAAGGTTAAACTATATTTGATTAATTCTGGGCTAAGTTAGACATGGCATTTAGATGTACGTTCAGCATGTGCATAAACCAACCGGAATACTGCGCAGAGAACGCAGACAAAACTGGATGGTGTGCTGCCCAGCACGCTCTGGGATCACTTTATCTCTGCAACGAAACACAATTTGTTCGCATTAACAAAGGCTGCTTTTAAAAAGATTTCCAGAACAACACATTTCTTTTCACTGCATATACAAAAACTTGATTAAGAAAAAAGTTAGCAATGATCAGAAAACATTGAGAAACCTACCGTAATTTCCAGATTATAAATCGCTACTTTTTTCCACACGCTTTGAACCCCATGGCTTATTTAGTTATTTATTTCATTTACAGTTTAAAATAAATATGTCACATGTTAACATACACAAAAGTCCTGAATGAAAAGGAGTATTTTGAAGAATTTTTTTTATATAGTGTACCCCTTCTCCCAAAGTCAATCTACTACAGCACAAGCAAGCGTCACTCAACCACCCACTTCTTTGAACACAAAACAGGCAATGTGCATATATAAAGAAAACAAACAAACAAACAAAATATCTTTGTTATTATACAGCACTCTGACTCAATATACTTCATTGTACCTTGAAAGAAAATTATATTATTATTTTCTTAAAAGTAAAAATAGATCTACTCTCTTTGGTTTCTTTAGACACAGATTTGTTCCATAAACAGAAATACAACAACCCATTTGTTTAGTTCTTTGTTTTTAAAAAAAATATCTGATCCTCTCAAGTTAAAAATTAATTCAACCTTTATTTATACAGGTTAATCCCATTGAGCCTCAGGGACTCATTTACAAGAGAGACCCCAAAATGTGCAGTAACCCTTTCACCACCTGGCTCGTTATATTTTGAGATCAACTATTCAATATAGGTCCCAAATAAATTCCTATCACCTTATGGTGAGAAATACATTCCAGTGTATATTAACTGTGTCTAGAAGGATAACTACGATTCTCACGAGGTTTACCCACAAGAACAATATAATATAACCTACAAGTTATTTTTCACAGTGTACTGCTGAATGAAGAAATGAGATTCTTACAAGAAACGTTCTTTTCTTTTGTATTAAACATGAAAATCAGAACACAAAATTAAACAGGGGATAAATGCTGTCTCTTTTAATGAATATTTTTTTGCAAACACATTGGCAACATACTGTTATGTATTTTAAACATGCACTATACAATGCTACAGCTAATTTATGCATTTTGTTTGACTAACGAGCCGCATGCCGCCAAAACATTTAGCCTCGTCACACCCGGGTGCTCACATAGCTGCCTAATGCAAGCCTTTCTTTAGGGGTGGGTCCTCGTGACTCAGTGAGACTACCTGTATAAACAAAGGTAAAAAAAATATATATATGACCAAAGAAATTACCGAACAGGTCATAGTGGACCATTGAAACTGGGAGAACGGGGATCCCCCTGCATGCACAGAGCAACTTTTGCTCAAGTCTGTAGAACAGCACAAGCTTGTTGCACAGAAGGAAGGTGACAATAGCGTTCAATGACTTCCTGGTAGGCTATAATTTTTTTTTTTTTTTAACCAGCTGTGTTACAGGTACTGTTCGGAAAAAAAAATAAACACTTACTGTACATATTTGTGTATGTTACTGGTACGTATTTAAGTAAAAAAAAAAAAAAAAAAATCTTTCTGTGTAAATATCTTATGTTACAACATGGACACCTGTGGCTTATAGATGAGCGCAGCCTGTATATGCACAAAATTATCTTTTTTTTTTACTTAGTGGCTGTGGCTTGTATTTGGATGCGCTCAATAATCAGGAAATTATGGTAATTTGTATAATATAATACTGAAGCTCAGTTAATATCCATCTTTAGGTTTCAATTAGCCTGATTATTTAATTTGTAATAATTTATGTTTTCATTACAGAAAAGAGTGAGTTTAGTTGGCACGCAGAAAAGAGAATTTTTAAAATGTAAATATATCCCTTTAAACATCCAACAGATCTCAGACAGAACAGAGGCAGTAATGTAAAAGCATGTTACCTAAAGTGAAAACAGTCTTTCTTCTCATTTTCCATGGGTTTGCTGCACTTCAGCTCAGTGATCTGAGCAAGAGACAAGGATCAGTGTTACTACACACAAGCTAAGCTGCGTTTAAGGCAGCTTTTCTTGTTGGAAGTCAATTACTAACCATTGAATGCAGCGGCGGCGTCACTCCCTCCCACAGCAACATGGACAGATCCGCAGGGTTAAAGGCTGTAATAGGACTTCCTTCTTCAGACACAACCATCACGGAGAAAACTGAAACACACAAACACAACGTCAGCTTCCTGAAGGGTCACAAATAACTGACTGTATAAATGATGTGAAGAAGTACAAACCAGGGAAAGTGTCTCCAGCACAAAAACTGGCACTGGTGTCATAGTTCACTTGCAGTCTGACAGGTTTGTTTGGATCAGGGATGATGGTGAGCTGCACTGATGGACCAGGGATAGGGTTCTTGTTAAACGACCCTATAAACTCCAGCTGATAGTACCCTCTAGTGGAAGAAAAGAGCCACAAGAACCTTTTTGTGAGTTGTGGAACACAACGTCTTAGTTTAGGTCTATTTAAAACACGTTTTTATTCTGCTTATGAAGACGAACTGATTTAAAAGAATTACATATATCCAAATGATAGAACAGGTTGGATTATTTAAATGTTAAAAATGGAGCGTTAATACAACCGTGTCAACTTTAGCAGAACAAATGACCCAGAATAATATTTCATAAGGAAAATGGTTCCAGTTGCAACATTAAAAGCGAGGTTTTGTGATTGTTATGCGCTTATGTAATGCAAATTTGATGGCAGAAATTGAAAAGCTGTTATGAAGAAGGCAGGAATCCATTTCCTACTTCTCCACTTGAGATGCTGACGGTCAGAATTAAACATTTTCTCCAAACTATGTCGTTCAAAAAGCCATCTACAAGTAAGATCATAATTAGTCATTACTGTTCCACATAACCTCACCTCAAATATCTGAACTATCCCTTTCACTCAAAAACAGTTTAAGAAAAGGCAATAACATGCATTTATTTTCCCCTTTTACCCCAGGTCAACAGTTTATTTATAGTAAAACAGGCACCAAAAACGTTTACACACTTACTTTGTGCCTTTCACACCATTTACTGTGAAAGAGGCTTTTCCTTCGGTGTCGACAGGTTGTGAAATGACATTCGTTGACACCTGTAAGAATAAGAAGATCTCATATTTTTTCAACAGAATCATTCTGAGCACATGACTTGACAACTTTTAATTCTTGTCAAGCGGACCTTTAGTGTCTGGGGGGACGACCTTATTTCCACCACAACCCTCTGGTCTGGAGACGGGTTTCCCCACTCATCGCACAGTTGGACCAGGAATGGCGTGGGGATGCCGTGTCCATTCAAGACCTGCAAAGGCTGATAAACATGGGGAACAAATAAATAAATAAATAAAGTTTAACCTCTACAGCATGACAGATATAAAATCCATAAATGAAGCGATTTCTTTACCGGCTCAGGTTTGCTGACCAGTATAAGTTGAGAAGGGACTCCTGCGGTCAGTTTAACGATGGTGCGTTCTGTAAAGCTGCTGTAGTTGAAGCAAATCTCTCTGGGCCCAAGAGACCCAGAGCAGAAACGAACTCCGGTCACTGCAACTGAACTGCTGCTCTCCTGTAACACACACCAGGAAAGGCTGTCTGATCTGTTGCGGTTGTTGTTGTTATCCATTATTGTTTTTGTTGGTTTCTACTTTTTGGTGTCCTGTTATGTAATCTGTTGCTATGTGCTTGTTCTGTTTGTCCCTGTACAGCACTTTGGTGTGCTTTGTCACTGTTTAAAGTGCTATATAAATAAATTGGTATGGTATGGTATGATCTTAAATTAAGTAAATTTAAATTTAAACAAAATCATGTTCAAACTAGGGCTGGGCGATATGGACCAAAATTAATATCACAATATTTTTTTAAATATAAAAAAAAAAGGCACTATACGATATATATCTCAATATTGTTTTATTTCCATAAAGTAATAACAAAATATATTTCTAAGTCAAAGCTTTGTCCCAATTGTCACACAGGCACCTTTATTAACAAACAGCTGTAACTGTAAAAAATAAATATGTCTCAAAAATAAAATAAAGATTTTTTTTACCCTGCATAACAAAACCTAAAACACAGCTGTGCACTTAAAATTTAAACAGAAAACATACAGAGCAAACATAATGAAAGGATGACTTGCTCTTTAAAAAGTCTGATTCTAATGAAGTATATTCATTCAACTGTTAACCTTTATTAACAAAGCCCACATTATTGTGTAGTTGGCTTATTTACTGAGCTCAGTTCTGATAGTTATGGCTTGTTTCGTTCTGAATTTCATGATTCCTATTGAATGCACCGTGGCTGTTCCGACACTAGTGAACGCATCGCTCTGTGTAAAGTGCCATGTTGCGTGCGTTGGAGTTTTTTTCTCTCCTGACACGGATGGGGCCTTGCTGCTCGAGCTTCTGTTTGCACTTTTACTGGTTTACTGCTGTGTGTAAATGCCAGAAGAAATACAGCAAATGAATCACCCTAAGCTGGATATCGGTCTCCATGTTTTTTAATGGGAAGACAACTTCATGCCTTGTCGCTCTAAACCAAATAATTACCTGGAGAACACCAAACCTCTTCTTTTTAGCAGCTTTCGGCACGATACCCAGTCAATTTCACACCTATCAGGAATTTACATCTACTGTATGTCAACAGAGTGGCTTCACTGTGAGTCAAACTAACAAAGACCCTAACGAACCCCTATTGTGACGATTGATAGGGCAATCTGCATATTTATATAGCTTAGCTCACTTTATGGCCCTATTTACACGGACACGGTGGGGGGAAACGTAGGTTTTTTCGTATGTTAATTAGAGGAAAAGATCCGCATTGACATGGACAAATTCTGTGTTTACACGCAACCAGAGGAATCTCCCCCCAACCCTCCTGAATACGCTGTAGTTACCATGCCAGGCCATTAGTTGGCACTGTGAATTTTGTACCTTCACCTTATGCACATGCGTTCTGCTCCTTTCCTCTGGGCTAAAAGCTCAGTTAACATCTTAACAACAAGTTAAAGCTGGATTTTGGACAAGAGTCAACAGATTTGACACTAAGCAGGACCATTTCGTCTAACAGCTCCACACCGGTCGCTGAGTGGACCAGAACTGAGTCGACAATGATGATGTCGGACTTTACTCCGTGATAATCAGTAGCCGATTTACAGCAGGTAAATCAACGTTCTTAATAATGTTTGCTTGCGTTTACTTCGATTAGAAAACAACCAACCGAGTTTTTTTATTCTTCCTGCGAGGAGAAGCTGCCCTCCCACCAGAGACGGACCAGTTCTGAACAAGGCTTGGCCCAGGTGCGGTGCAGGAGGACGTCGAAGAGAGAAATGTCATGTTGAATAAACTATTCATTTAAAATTCCCCTCATTTCTTTTTTCCAATCCATTGAATGTTTTAAGCTGCATTAAGCAAAGGAGTGACAGCCTGAATGAGCCAGAAAAACAACTTGGGACCAGTATCCGGGATGAAAACAGAGCAGAGTCCAGTTCATTAAAGTATTTTACAGTTTGGTTAACTTGTTTTTAATAGTGTGTTCAGTTTAATTATTAGTGTTTGTGTGACATAGTTTGTGGTGTTGAATGAATAAATAAATAAAAACTAAACCTGATGTCTTCATTTTCAACTTTAATAACACGAAGCATGTTTTGCATCGTTTAAACCACGAGTCCAGATAACTTCATTATACATCTCCCACGCTAACATTAATACTGTTTATTATTGTTAAACTGTTATTTAGCACATTTAGTATGTTATAGTGCAGCGCAACATGTGAAATATTTGTCTGTTTAGTTCTATAAACAGCGATATTAGAACTGGATCCAACTGGTGTCTCTTCCAACACAGATGTTGGTCACAGCAGCTACATTCAGGTGTAGATTAATTAAACATGAGACTCAAAATATATTCCATCAGTCGTAGCTCAGAAAGCAGTGTGTCCGCCGCCATGTTGTTGATAGAAATATGCCATCTGTTCGCGTGTGCGCATGCAGTTTAATACAAAGCCTCAGCAGGAGATATTTACATTAACAGCGGGCGGTCAGCCGAAAACCTCCACTCTGGAAGGTGGGTACAGAAACCTCTGGATTCAAAGAGGGGGGCTACTGGTGTTGTGTAAATGAACAGAAGAACCGCAGAGAGAGGGCTTGTCTCACTGCAGCACCGTTACATTTTTAAGGGATTAAACCTGCAAATCAATCAATTCTTGGTGTTGCCTTGACCTTTGACCTCAGAGCCTCTTAGACCTCTTTGTTAGGAATGCTTTTAGCTAGCCATAGAAGAAGGAGGACTTTTCCTATGTATTGTCAGAGCTTTTTCATTATCTATGTTATTTAAGTTTTATGATCTCGTCTGTTAAGTGTCTCATGTATACATCCAGACATGTATACATCCAGACACGTATACATCCAGACCTTTGAGACGTCAGGATTAAAACACTGTTTTGGTGATGAAGAGTGGAAGGGAGCTGGGGGTGGGGGTGGGTGGGGGGTTTATAGCATTAGATTATCACCATTTAGTTCATTCCAGCTGTTGGAAAATTACCTGAAATTACACATATGTCTTATTTTTTAAACAAATGAACAACTACATGATGTAACTCTTTACTTCTAGTTTCTTTTGAAACTATTTTAACTCAATTTAAATGTTACAATGATAATTTATAAAGAACAGTTATCTTATGTGCCTGTTTTGTTTCTGTAAGCAAATGCTGGCATATAATAAGACTAAGGAAAAACCTGAGACTTTAAAGAATGACAAAGTGCTAAATGAAGGAGAACAGGTTTAGTAAACAAGATTATTTTATTGGTTACTGGGAGGCTTTGGGGGCACGCTGGATCAAGTTTGTGATTTTGGCTAAACTGTTCTCGGTTTTGATTGTACACGATGTACTCATTATTACATTAAACTGCATTTATACCTATTTTTCCATTACACATATGAATATATTACAAAGTTTCCAGACCCTAAAGATGGAACATTAATTAGATCGATCAGACTTTTTTAGGTTTTTGCAACTACGAGCCTACTATAATAAGAATTGTAATGTACTAACTAGACTCATCACAGATACAGCTTGAATTTTTCAAAATGCTAAGGCAGGCCCATACATCTATAATAAACAAAGCAATTTCCAAAATATAGAATATACTAATGCAGGCTAAAAAGATAGACACGCTGCATATAAAGGGAAGATGGGAACAAGAATCAGGAACAAAAATAACAGTCAAGGAATGGGAGAATATTTGTAGTTTCCAGTGGTCCTCAACTACTGTAGCTCGCTGGGGTGGAGGGAACACTGTTGGAAAAATATTATAAAGGTATTTTAAAACACCATATCAAAACAGATATGGGAAAGGGAACTCAAGAGTGTTGGAGGAAATGTGGTTCGATAGAAGCAAATCACTATCACATTTTTTGGGATTGTCTCAAAGTGAGAGGCTATTGGGCTGATATCAATAAGGGCTTAAATTATGTATTTAAAATTATAATACAACAAAACTTTCAGACTTTGTATTTGGGACAGAGGATAAAATAAGCCAACGGGGATGATGTAAAATTGTTACAGGCTCTTATGGCGGCTAGTAAAAAGCAATTACAAAAAAATGGTTAAGCCCTGTCCCCCCCAAATATGGATGACTGGATTCAAGTGGTTCTAGATATTTATAAAATGGAAAAATTAACATATTTGTTAATAATAATTTTTTTATTATTATTATTATTATTTTTTTTTTTACAAAATTTGGAATAAATGGATCATATATATTGCCCCCTTTTCACAAGCTTTTCACTAATCTTGTCAGGTAAACCCCTTAAATTTAGTTAATCTGGAGTGGAGTTTTCTTTTATTTATTTCTATATTTACATTTCCTCTCTTAAAGGTGTGTTTTCTATATGTAATACATGATTCAGGTGTTTGAGTTTCTATGTAAGGAATCATTGGATTCCTGCATTTATTTAATGTTCTTTTCTTCCCCCCTTTTATTTATTTATTTTTTTATTATTTTTCCCCCCTCCTCTGTAGTTTTGTTATTTATGTTTAAAAATGAAAATTGGGAAGGGTTGTGAAGTAAAAGTTGTTATATTGCAATGTCATTGTAACTTACCCTTTCCATTGATAAAAAAAATAAACTGCATTTATACATAAAACAGTTAATGTCTTCCTGAGGGGCTGCCAACGTTTTATAAATATTTATTTTTTAACTTTAGGTCAAGTTTGCATTTCGTCTATTAGAGTTCCAACCTGCCATTTGAAGGTGATGTTCGATTTGTCGAGACCCTCGGCTTCCACCGTTATGCTCTTCACACTGGCTTGGGTGAGTCTGTTGGTCACATTGTCATACTGGTCCACAAGCTCCAAAACTGTTGAAGAACACAGCAGGTCTCGTGAAATAAAACAATAACAACAAAAATATGCATGTGTGTATTAATGAGCAAACATACTGATATGCTCTAACAAGGTTTCACCAAGCTTCAGTGTGTTTTGGGGTAAAGTTGCTTTTAGTCGAGCTGGTTCATCTGGACAAGGCCTACAAACAAAACAGACACAGACACTCAGAAAGTCTCATTTGGAAAAAAAACAGGCATACACTTTCTTGTGGGAAACTGGAAAATAGCAACAAGTTTCTACGTTTACAGATATATGAAGCTACATAAAGGAACATTGCAAAGGAAACAACTTGCTTATTGATGCATTTTGATAGGAGGCCTGGCAGGCCCAGAAGTGGAAACTTGAAGAACGCTCCTACTTTTATAGGAGACCACATTTAGGTGAGACAAACATCAGATGGAGAGATGAAAAAAACGGTGAGCTAGTCTAATCTGATCACATTTACCAGCCAGGAAGTGACCCACTGACAGACTGCTTATGAGAACAGGCAGCATCAGCGGTCAGTCTCAGGCCAACCTGCTCCTGCTGGTCACAGGTTTGGACCATACCAGGCTCAGACCCACACCAAGATGACCCTGTGTATCCCTACGAAGGACATTATCTGATCCTCCTTTACACAGCTGCAGCCTCCTGGAAGGAATGGAGCTGTAAATTGTGGAAGCTGTCAGTTTCAGCCCATGAGAGGAGACCTGTTGAATCACTCTGCTTGTTGTGTGTGTTTCAAGTGCAACTTTTCCTTTTTTTCAGAACCAGAGAAAGGAGGTGTCTGTGACCCTATTCTTCATGCATAATCATATAAATGATGTAATTCTAGCTGGTCTTCTTTGTTTGAGACATGAAGTAGGAAGAGTATGTACAGTATGATTTATAAAAAGCTTATGCACAACAGAGCTGGAGCTTTTGACTGGGGACTTTTTGAAGTTCGTGGAGCTTGTTGCTTTTAGGCTTGGATGGTAAATTACCTTCTGTTGGCCATGGGTCCTTTTGACCCAGGGGTGACGGGAGGGATTACAAAACCAGCATTTATCTTAACAAGTTTCTTCTTTTTGTTTTTAAAATTGCTTTTTGAGAGACATACCGGTAATCTTGTAAGCATAAGAGATAGACTGAGTTACTTACTGTACCTTTTTTACCTTTAAATTTTGATATAACCAAATGTGAGTTTTTTTTTTTTTTTTTACATTTACCATCCTTTGTTGTACTGTTGCAATTTTAATATAATTTTGCCTGTGTGCACTAAAATAATATCAGCAGAGACTGGTGATTAATTAAGTACTGGTGAGTCCTATTTACCTGTAATATATTCTTGTATACTGCGGAAAACCTCTCCTTAAAAGCACCTGCACTTATCCTACCGCAGTTTAGATTTTTGTCTTTAAATTTTTTTTAGATCTTAACAAAAGCATTTCACTTGTGTCCTGCACATCGCCTTTTTTGTTTTTTCACTTTTAATAAAGTTTCCTGTGAGCAGCAAAACCTGAGAAAGCAGTTTGTGGATATTTTAGCTGAATAGTTACAATGTAAAACTGTAACACATCATGCATTTAGTTACACCAAACTTCAGTTTATCTAAGTGCAACGTTCCATCTTTATTTCCTTCTTTCAAACAAGAACGCAGCTATAATGTAGCTGATGAAGGAGATGTCATGGCTTACACAATGGTGAAGCAGGAAGACACACTCAGGTCCTGGTAGGACACCTGGTAGAAACGCTCCTCAGTCACATGGGTGGGCACTTGTACATCAGGCAGTCTCCCCTTGACCAAACCCCTCCGACTTACATCTGGCGTCCAGTTAACCTTACACACAGACAGGGTGCATACTTTAAAGACACAAGACAGAAAAAAAATCCACACTTATATTTAGAAAATAATTTGCCACATGCACACCTTAATACTGGAGGCCATTTCTGGATTGACTGACACTTCCATGCCAGATTCATCATACAACTTATAAAACAGATGCTGCAGCAGTCCTCCAGCTTGCCACTCAATCTTTTCTTTGTCCCTGAGCACCAACTTTTCCTCCCCCTGACAGAAGAGCTCCATCCGTGAGACTCGACTGCTGGGCATGACCTTCAGCTCCAACACGACTGGCGCTACTTTTTTCTGATTCTAACACAAAACAAAGGAGATGGAAACAGTGTGAGCAAACCTCAAGATAAGAACATGCAGTTGGACTTTTTATTTTTTTATTATTACGTTATACTTACAGGCATGTCAAATGCAGCATTAAGCATTTGTGGCTCCCCATTTGTTATACTAAGGTTTATGGGTTTTGTCTCGAGCTGGCCTGCTCCGGTGCTGCTGCAGTCTGCCTCCACCGTGGAAAACCCTGAAAGCTTAAAAGAGCACCCAAAACAAAAGGAGAGGAGACTAATAAACATATATAATCTCATAAAGTTTAATATGAATTTCAAATCTATTAAACACAATGTATGGTTTAAAAATATATACAAAAAGGTAAAAAAAACTGTTCTACACACATTTTGCAGAGAGAAAAAAAAAAAGCAATTTAAAGGAAATTAAACCAGATTAATCCTTTTTGAAGATTTGGTTCCTCATAAATTAACCCAGCATATAAGATTATAATTTTTAAAACTGGCTGTTTATTCTCCAAACAAATTCCTGTCATAGTTTACCAGTACAAGGATGTAAATACCTGACAGCGAACTATCTGTTTGGGGTTAGCGGTGACGTTCCCAGCCTCGTCGTGAACTTCAACGTTAAAGCTAGCTTTGTTTCCATTCTCCACTTTGACTGGGTTTGTGTCCGGTTTCACATGAAGTGAATGTGGATCTCCTGAAATATATGTACAAGATATTTATGTACAAATTGACCAGTAGGAACCGCTAGTAAAATATGATGTTACAGGAGCCAAAACAATCCTGAGGAATAGGGTTCCTTCACAATTTTAGTTTTAAAATTTCACATTTATGCAGACGCACTTTAATTTCTTTAACTTTTCTTTTAAAAGTTTAGATATTCATCATATAAATTATAAAAAAGATTCTTAAATCAAAAATACTAATTTTTACTTTTAATACCAGACCTAAAAAAATCCTAAAAGCAATTTTCTAAACTTTTATGAGCATCTAGGAACCCTTCAGGAAGTCGGGGGTTTCAGTTTTCAACATTATGTGCAAAATAACATTTTTATGAAAACAGAAAATATCAGTAAGTTCTTTGTAAATTGATAATAAAAAAATAAATGTAAATTATTTATTTCATCCGAGCTTATTAATTTAATTAAGTTAGCTAAAAATTACTTTTCAAACAATTGGAAGTTCAAAGTCCCAAAAAAACATCATGAACTGTAAATACTGAAATAAACAAAGTCTTACCAGGAAGCAGACTGATTTTAATGGTTTGTGTATCATTTTTCAGCCCAGGAAGTGTCACATTCAGGTCATAACTCTGTAAAATAAATTGTATTTAATTAAATAAACATCAAACCTCAAATCCAGGAGGAACAATGTGAGTTACGTCCTGGCCATGGAACACTGGACCAGCTCTTTACCCTCACTAGGGTCCTTGAGGGGTCATAAGAGTTGGCCCATCCAGTCTACATGTGTTTTGTGAACTTGGAGAAGGCTTTTAAGTCCAAGTTCAAGTCAAGTTTATTGTCATTCGCATCACATGTGGTACATGAGGTGGAACAAAATTGTGTACTCAAGGTTTTTCAGGTCTCTCTTGTAAAGAGTCCCAGCGGCCCAATAGGACTAACCTGTATAAATAAAGGTTGAATGAATGAAAGTGTACTCAAGGTCCCAGTTACACCCAAAAATAGCAAAAATATAAAGTATAAAAAGAAACAGTGTAAGGAGCTAAGATATATACACGCTAAGCAAAGGCCACACGGTACGCTAAAGATCTAAGATATACGCTAAACACTAATAATGTAAAACAATATGGTCAGCTCGAACATGAGTCTGTGGTGAGAAGATGGGTATGAATGAATACAGCAACATGAAATAATCAGCAGCACAGATAAGTCACATATCCCCAATTTAAGTGGCATTAAAATGATTATCCTGGTTAGGGATTTATGAGTCTAACGGCCAGCCCCCACATACTCAGGAATACTGTGTGTACTCCGTGACCCACGCGGACTCAGCATGTACCGTACTGTGCACAGACGGTTGAGACTTCATACTTGAGCATGCACCCTGAAGGGCTGCAGCCCAGCTCTGCAGGTAAGGGGTGTTTACCTTCGGGACAAATTGAGGTTGCTGATTGTTCATTTGCTGACACACTTACTGGATTGATTGACAGGTCGCGTCGCAAATCCGACTCATGAAAAATAAATAAATAACATAAAAATAACGAGAGCTGCCGGTGGCCTGGGTAGAGGCAGGGCGACTCAGGAGCAGCGGCAGCAGTGTTCTGTGTTTATATGTTACTCAGTGACCAGTAACCTCACCTGGAGAGCAAACAATTCCTGTCTGGTCAAGAAGGCCCACCAGCATCTCTACTTCCTCAGGAAGCTGCGGAGAGCTGGACTTGGGAGGTCTGTCCTGAAGAGCTTCTATCGCTGTGTGGTGGAGAGCGTTCTCTGCACCTGCATCACCGTGTGGCACGGCAACTGCACTGCTTCTGAGAGGATGAGTCTGCAGAGGGTGGTTAAGGCTGCACAGAAGACTTTGGGGAGCAGCCTTCCCACCACCTCAGACCTCTACACATCACAATGCAGGGTGAGGGTGCTCCGCATCATGAAGGACTCCACTCATACTGCACACAGTCTGTTCTAGCCCCTCTCCTCAAGCAGGTGGCTGAGGAGCATTCAGAGCCAGACCGCCAGGCTCTGAAACAGTTTCTTCCCTGCAGCTGTCAAACTGCTGAACTCGAGCTGCACTTAATTCAGCTTCATCTTACTTTTTTTTAAAACTCTATTTATTTTAAATGTATATATTTATACTCTTTGTATTTATTTATTTGTTAGGCTTTTTGATCTGGGACCTGAGTCTGAATTTTGTACCATAAACATGCAAATGTGAGCTGGTATGACAATAAAAAATCCTTGAATATGTTGTTAATAAAAAGTTCTAAAACATAAAAAAACAGGGAGCACTGGCCCTGCAGCACACACGTCAGTCCGGTCCACCAGGAAATCTCCAGACCCTCCTGATTAGGGTTGGGGAATTTAACACACTAGTGAATGACATGAAGATGATGGACAGCAGGAAACATCTGGAATATTTTAGAATGGATTCTAGCAAGTTCGATGAGCTAGTTGGGCACTTAGCCCTGTTTCTTTGCCACCAGAGCAGCCACTGCACACCTGTCAGCGCTGCACAGAGCGGCAGTTGCACTGTGCATCCTTGCGACTGGTTGCTCGGAATACAAAGAGAGGTTGGTGTCGCATACAAAACAGTCTGTTGCAGGGCAGTTTATTGTGCTACACAGAGTACGTGTTCATGGTTATAAAAATTGATCTTTGCGCGGACAGGGCTGGCGGATGTCCGCTTCGAGTCTGCATTAAGTCTGCCTCAAATACACACAGACCTCTGTGGAGTGAAGTACGCCCGAGTATGTGGGGGCCTTAACAGCCTCAGGGTAGAAGAAGCTGTTCCTTCTACACTTAATGCTTAGAAACATCTTGCCCGAGGGAAGCGGGGCAAAAAGTGTGTGTGCTGGGTGAGTGGGGTCCTTCATGATGCAGGTGGCTCACTTCCTGCATGTGGAGGTGTAGATGCCTGTGATGGTGGGGAGGCTAACTCCAACAGCCTTCTGTGCAGCCTTCACGACTCTCTGCAGTGTTCTATGTTCTGCAGCTGTGCAGCCTCCATGCCACACGTTGATGCTGGAGCACAGGATGCTCTCCACTGCACTACACACAAAATTAGAAGGAGGTGAGGACTGAGGTTCACAGACCAGCTCACCTCAGCCACCTGAGGAAGTAGAGTCGCAGTGTTTCGACCATGTTCCTTGGGGTACACTGTTGGAGGTGCTCCTAAGTATGATTGGGAGCCTGTTGTTACAGGCTGTTTGGTCTCTATATAAGCGGTGCGAGAGTTTGGTTCGCATTGCCGGTAGTAAGTCAGACCCCTTCAGGGTGAGAGTTGGACTCCGCCAGGGCTGCCCGTTGTCATGATTCTGTTCATAACTTTTATGGATAAAATTTCTCTGTGCAGCCAGGGGGCAGAGGGATTCCAGTTTGGTGGCCTCAGGATTCCATCTCTGTTCTTTTCAGATGATGTGGTCCTGCTGGAGTCATCGTGCCGTGATCTTCAGCTTTCACTGGGGTGTTTCACAGTCGAGTGTGAAGCGGCTGGGATGAGAATCAGCACCTCCAAATCGGAAGCCACGGTCCTCAATTGAAAAGGGTGGATTGCTCTCTTCAGGTCGAGGGTAAGGTTCTGCCTCAAGTGGAGGAGTACAAGTATCTCAGGGTTTTGTTAATGAGTGAGGGAAGAATGGAGCCTGAGATTGACAGACGGATTGGTGCAGCGTCTGCAGTATTGCAAACTCAGTACCGGTCCATTGTGGTGAAGAGAGAGCTGAGCTGTAAGGCAAAGCTCTCTGTTTACCTGTCAGTCTACTTTCATATCCTCACCTATGGCCACAAACTCTGGGTAGAGACCCAAAGAAAGAGATCGCAAATACAGACAATTGAAATGAGTTTCCTCCGCAGGGGAGATGGACTCTCCCTTAGAGACAGGGCGAGAAGCTGAGTTATCCAGGACAGACTCCGAGTAGAACCGCTGCTTCTCCATATCGAAAGGAGCCAGTTGAAGTGGTTCGGGCATCTGGTAAGGATGCCCTCTGGGCACCTTACTCGGGAGGTGCTTTGGGCATGTCCAACAGGGAGGAGACCCCGGGGAAGACCCAGGACACACTAGAGAGACTATATCTCTTAGTTGGCCTGCAAATCCTCCCAGAAGAGCTGGAAGAGGTGGCTATGAAAAGAGATGTCTGGGCCTCCCTGCTCAAGTTGCTGCCCCCACGACCCAACTTCAGAACTAGCGGAAGATAATGGATGGATGAATAAACATCAACGGTTGTCATTTCCTAAACTTCAAGCAAATTGTATTTTTTAAGTATTTTATTGCTTCAAGTTAAATTACTTTTTGTGTTACCTTGGATTGCTGGTAATTTTGGACTTTTCCTTTTGCTTTGACACCTTTAATGGTCAAAGTGGTCCCACTGCAGCTCACCGAATGGTAGGTGATTTCTAGGCCACTAAATGAAAGAATATATAAATGAAAGAATGAATGAACAAATTAATGGATGGACGGATAAACAGATTTATGAGTGAAGTGACCCACCTGCATTTTAGTGTAGGCTGGAGTTTGGGAGGTGTTGTTGGGTGGTTGTAACCATCTTTTATCTGCAGAGGAATGTTGAAAGGTATTCCCACACAAAGAGTTTGGCTCATTGTGCCCACAGTAAACGTCTCTGCATTGCCCTCTAACAAGAATCAAAACAACACAAGTGTGTGAGGTATTCGGAAAGTATATTAAACATTAAACTTAAAATACTGAAAGCACAGACTGTTTACCTTTGATTGAGAATTTGAGCATGTAGCTTGGAAGCTGCCTGCCTCCATAGACAGTGGCACAAGCGTCTCTTAACGTCGTGTTCAGTTTCATAGTGTACTTCCCTAAGCTGGTAAGAGTTTCTATCAAGGATGAAAACAAAATGTCTTTTTTTAGTCCATCTATCTATACCCATCTACCCATCTGTATATGCGTTCGTGTATCATACACGCACAGACAGATAAACAGACAGCCAGATAGATACATAAGATTATTTGTGTCTTTAGGTAACGAAAGTAGTAAAAACAGAAATGTACCAATCTTTTTGAACCAGTATCCTATATTATTTGATATGTAGGGAGCAACGAAATTGGCAACCTCCGTGTCTCCTTCAGGACCTAGGTGCAAAAAAGAAAAATTAAATAAAAAAAATGGAGAAGCTAAGTCAAAAAAGGCTAGACTAAACCAAATTAAATTAAACTGAAATAAAATAAGATAAAAAAATGCTAAGTCAAGCTAAATAAAAGCTAAGAAATTAATATAGACTAAGCCAAGTCAAGGTTAAATACATTAGTATGAGCTAAAATACGACAGATCAATCCTTTAATAGAGAATAACATAGTTAAAACATCTATGCTTTGCAACCAATTAACTATAATAAATAATCACCACAGCTAATGACTTATCTCACAAAGTAATAAAAGGCAATGTTTCCCACTTAACATCTGCTTCAACTCAAAGCACATAAAAAACCCAACCTTACCATGATGGACTACGCTGAGGAGAATGCTCAGTTTTATTCCCGGCCCTTGGCCTGTATGTATCTTGGAGATTGAGAGTCCCTTCCTATTAAGAATTTCAACTTTGAGAGGCCCTATAAAAATGTGAAACGCGTGGACATAAATACTCATGAACTGTGTGCTTAAATACTTACAATTTCAATATTTTCATTTTGATGCGGATTGAAGACATTGGTATAAAAACTGATGAAATTTGATGAGGAATGTGAAAAATGTAACACTTTACCTAAAGGACTCCCAGTAAGACAAACATCATTTTTTTGCCAAACGTTGTTGTCTGGCCACTGAACCATTAGCTCTTCTGGAAGCCTGGAAACAAATTAAAATTCACTTGAAGTGACAAAAAAATCTCATCCAGCTTAAAAACAACTTCCAAACAAAACAAGGAAATTAAGGAGTTACTGGGACTGAATAAAAATAAAATAAACCCCCTAAAACTCCAAATAGATTACATTTTCTGTGACTGTTTACTTACTTGTCCATATCGTTGTCAATATTCTTCTTGATGAATTCATCAGTGGCGGTCCTGTCGAGCTTTGAAATGGGTATGAGCTTGGTGAAATTGTCATAAAGTGCATCAGGCTCCTGAGAAAGAAAGTAGCTGTTTAATTTTAGACTCAATATGAGCACAAAGTTCATGAAATTTTAAAATGGATAAAAAATAAAATTATTTTGTACATGCAGATTTCTGACATTTTAGTTTATACCTCAGTCAGAAATAATGTTCTTACAGCACAAAGTAAATAATGATAGTGTATTTTTAATCAGTCTCTCAAACAAGCTACAGTGGTTTCTTTCTTACACGTCTGATTTCCACTTGTCCCCCCGTGGCATAGACATCCCCATCATGATTTCCGTACAGCAAAAATCGAATAACCGTGCCGTAAAGAATTGGCACAGTTTTCTGGGACTTCACCTGCATAAAAAACATGAAAACTTAAGACTGAAGAATGATAAAAAATAAGAAACATGTACAGTAGATTATATTTATATATAAAAAAAGAACTTCTTACAAGTTGTCCTGCTTTGTACGTTTTTCCATCTAACTCAATGGAGGAGAACGTTGCCCAGGGATGCTGATGCCTCTTGATGAGCAAATCTGTTCGTGTTATTGTCTTGATGTATCCAAGAAACTTCACCTGCTTGTCGCACTTTTCATGACAGTTCTGAAGCCACTGCGTGAACTCTTTCTGGATGTTCCCTCTTTTGGGAGTTTTCTGCAAAACATGTAGAAAAGATGTACAAAGCTTTACAAAACGCCTTAATTTTTAACCACTGTGGTTAATTGGCTTCATTGTGTTCCTCTCATCAACAAGCCTGAGATCAATGGTCACCTGAGCATTAACAACAGGAGTGAATATGGTGTCTTTGCTTTTCAGTTTCAGCTCCAGGTCCATAAACTTCAGCTTGCTAGCATTGACCAGGAATTTGTCATCAGTAAAAAGAACCCCGGAAAACCGGCTGTAACACTCTGCAGGTAATGTTGCGCCTTTAACGGGTCGGGAGCACCAATCGAACCTGGAATGCATAAACAGAAAGGGACGAGAATAATAGATCAAGGTGAAGAAATACGTATTTAACATTTCTCTTGCTCAAATAGAGTCCACATTTATTTTCTGAGCTTTTTAAAAAATTTTTAAACATGTTTTCCACAGAGTTTATAGACACCTTAAACCTGATTTTACTGCATAATGATGTATTCCAAATGGTAAATGGACTGTACTTATATAGCACATTTCTATTTAATCCAGAGCTCAAAGCTCTTTATAACGCAATATGTGTCCTCATTTATCGCCACACACACATTCATACAGCACATTACCACATCTCTACAAAGCTAATCTGAATCTATAAAGAATAATCAGTGCTTTTAGATCAAGTTCATACATCGATGTGACACACATCGGGGGCAATGAGGGGTTCAGTGTCTTGCCCAGGGGACACTTTAACATGTGACTGCTGGTGGAATCGAACCCCCACCTAGGCCTGTCATAATAACAAATTTTGCTGGCTGATTGTCTCAGAAAATACTGCGATAAACGATAATATTGTTTGAAATTTGACAATAATTAGTACCAGTAATTGTCAATTTCAAGAAAAAATGTTGGTAATTTTGTTGTAGTACATTTTTTGACCACTGGATGGCAGTATAAGACTGTTTGAACCAAAGGATGGATAGTGAGTGAGTGAGCAGCGTGTCTCTTTAAGAAAAATGGGAGGGAGGCCCCTTGACGTGATGGGCTGTCTCTCATTCATGTTTTTTGGTTCTCAAAATGGCAGACATTCGGTGTAGTTTGAGCTCTTTAGCATAGCATTTGTCACACAAAGCTTTTAATAAAAAAAAATCAGTAAACAACTTCACAGCTTCTTTTTGCAGGAAAAAAACAACTTTTTACATATTTAAATCGTAAATTTTGGAGCTTGACAAGACAGAGGTTTTTTTTCCTAGAGGCCGGCCAGTTAGGTTAGCTGCTTTTAATGATCCAAAAATGCGATTTTGGATGGTTAAAACATACTTTAAAGAGAAACAAGAAAGGGAGGGGTCAGTGAAGAGTACCGGAGTGGAGACAGGTCTTCAGTAGAAAAAGAGAGACATGAAAAAACAAAGCCGATAAATGAAAATGAGGTCGATAATTTTCACTTATCATGCGATTAATTGATTTATTGTTTATTGTGACAGGCCTACTCCCAACTATTCCATTGAAGTCATCACTACTTAGTTATAGGAATACTTCGTTCAACAGAAATGGGACTTTTAATTAGTCTAGCAATAGTACTAAACAGATCTGATTCCTTAGATGGAGAACTTTACTAATTGGCTTTTATGTATGTGAATGTTTCTGTAAAGTGCCCTGAGACAACTTTGTTGTGATTTGGTGCTATATAAATAAACTTATTTGAATTGAAGATGACCGCTCTTAACCTCAGCCACAGCTGGAAAATTGTTTGAAAACGCCTCTTTAAAACTAGGGATGCACCGATCCACTTTTTTTTTTACTTCCGATCTGATCCTGATACCTAAATCTAAATATCGGCCGATACCGATCCAGTTCCGATATCATCATCATTGATTTTATATGAGGCTGTAATAATCTCCTCTCAAGTACAATTTGTACAAATAAATGCATTCATGTCCAAAAAGGCAACTTGAGGTAAGTTTTATTAATGTTGGATAAGTTTTAAAGTTAGAATTAAATTCTGCTAACACAGAACATGTTTTTTTTTTTATTCCTAGTTTTAAAGTGAATATTAAAGTGATTAATTTAAGTGACTGTTTAAAGTTATTTTATTTATTTTTTTAATAAGGGGCAGATAAGATTTTTCTTCTTTCTGCACTCTTTTCATTCAATGTGTTCTTTTTGATGAATTTGTTTTGTTTCTTTTAAATGAATAAATAATTGAATTAAATAAAATAAAATGTTAAATGGCTTTAAACATCTGTTAAGTTCATGGCATAAACCAACAGACATGTTCCTGTTTTTAGTATTTTACATCACTTTATAATGTAGCAGTTTTTGTTTCGTTAATATATATATATATATATATATATATATATATATATATATATA